CTTCATACATGTCACCAACCTTCCAGCAACTCCTCGTATCATTGCTCAAGATGGATCCAGCGAGGCGACCCAAGTTCCATCACCTCAGCTGGGATCTGCAGAAAACCGAGAGCTTCAGTTGGTGAGCAAAGACCAGAACAACCGGAAAGTACCTATGTAAAATATCGTCGCAGCAGGTTTGCGGGACCTGAAGGAATAGCAACCTATGGAGGTGTGTAAGATATGATAGCACATTTCCGTTCATCCTGGCTGTCATCTCATCTCCCACAAAGCTGCCGCAGGGCCCCGGGCGTTTTGCCCCGCCCCAGCGTTTTGGACCACAGAGACAAAACGCCATAACCAAAAATACCTCATATGTCGATTCTTCGATGTCTTCGATGTCGATCAGTTTCGGAGTGCTCTAGGTGCGTGCGCACCTTAAGCCTCCTTCCATCTCCAGAGGCAATTGGCAAGTCCGTGTGCCTCCGTACTTAGTAAGTTTTGGCGGTGAATTGTTTGTTTCCGTCCGCAAACTTGTGACTTCAAGCCTCCAGCCATTAGTTTACAGAGATCCGCAATTCTTTGGTGGCAGTTTGGTTCGAAAGTGATCCGTGGACACAAATGGACCCGCCTGTGAAAAGATGCAGACAGAGCAGCTTGGCCTCTCCGGGCGTCCGCACAGAGGGGGCTGCTCTGCTGTTCCATAAGATCCCAGGAATAGTAGAACTTGCAAGACACTCAGACACGCTTTGCACTGTGTATTTTTGATTCCTTTTGTGAGTATTTCTTCAATTGAATCCACACTTGCAGTTCTACACTCAGTGGGATCTTATTCCAAAACAACAGATTTGGCGATCGAATGTCCAGATCTTTGCGGCAAAGACACTCCAGTGCCGACCACCTCAGTGAGCTCGAACGAAAGAGCTTTTGGCGCCGTTGAACGGGCCAAGCCTTGCGGAGTCGAACATCGGGCCTAGTCGGGCTCCAACAGCCTCAGTTCTAGTAGCTTCTTAGCTACTTGTAGCGATGGCCTCCAACCTAATAGCGATGGCTTGCACCACTGCATGCTACTGCTAAGATTCTTGAACATCGTGAACCCCCAAAAGATCCCCAAGGCACGCATCCATCAAGTGGAATCTGCATTTTGAAGCTTTGGACGTTTGGAATTTGGTTTCGCATCGGACATGGCACTTTCTTTCCAGACGACCTTCCGCTTCGAAGATGGCTCTCTCGACGGTCTTTGGCGATTTCATTAGCCTGGCCTAAAGGGACGCATCGTTCGTGGCTCACGGCGCATTCGCTTTTGCATGCGAAACCAGATGGCTGAAGTTTCAGAAGTGGTGATCAGCTTGGCAGTGATCCGCTTCTAATAGGACCCAAAGAGGTGAAAGATCAGGGGCAGAGGTGAACGACAAGCATATTTCCTTAGCTTTTGTAGTTCCACTTGGTTCAAGTTGTTCTGTTTGTTTCTCCCTGATGTTACAATATGGCAGCCACTCTGGGTTAACTTTTCAGTCGCACAAAGTCTAAGCCTGGGCTCCATCAAGTGATCCCAACTGTTGATGACCTTTCCGTGAGGACTGATTCAACTGGCAACTTGGGTTGCCTTGTGAAGCATCGTGCTTCCAGTTCTTGCTTGATAACACGAATCTTGTCTCATCTTATCAACATCTATCTCTGTGAAAGGCTGGCAGCCCGAGCAATGGTAGCGACGTAGCCTACTGGTCTACAAATAATGTGAGACTAGGTGCTTGAAAGAAGCAAAAAGCCCAAGCGGCTGAGCAACCTTCTGACAACCAGAAGACCCGCGAACCGGACCGATCCTAAGAATGGGCAGATGTTCCTGCTGTGCTTGTATTTACTTCTCAGCCATTCTATGGATCATAAGGCCTAGAGGAGCAGATCTTTCGGGCATAATCGCCCCGATCTGAATTTGCACAGTGGCTTCAGACGACAACTGGTGGATAGGAGCACTTCTCCACGGGAGAATCACAAAACTGATGCGGGGTAGCCCTGCAGCTGCAAAGAAAATTGGACGTTCTGTGAAGTTCAGTTCAGTCATTGAGTAATTCCGGATACAATGGGATTCAATTGGTGGCAGCAGGGATTGCTCTCACTTTGGGACAGAAAACACCCGATACCTCATAAAGACTCCAAAAAACATTGCAAGTTTAGCACTAGAGATTGCTGGAGTCTCAGAATCCTGCTAAAAAGACGGGTGTTCAAAGTGAGGCGGCTACATTTCTTCTGGTGCTGAGTGAAAAAGGGGCCAAGCAAGCATTGCGAAGCGAGAGATCGATCTTGGCATAGAATTTGCCGAAAAATCGCAAACAAGATGTGATGTATGTATCACGATCTGTTTGTCTCTCTCTTCTTTTCCCGTTGTATTTCCATTGATTATATATAATTATCTGGCCGCAGGGACCCATGCGCTCGCTCAGAAACACCGAGCGCTGCATAGCGGGCATAGCGCTACTCTTTTAGATCCAGGTCGATGCAATTGTGAGGGCATCTTTACAAAGATATATAAATTCTTTCTACCTTAATGCTGGTAGAGGAGCTCCTGCCTGAGATAGGTGACAGCAAAACTCCAACCCGGAGACCTTCTTCTTTGACGCTGAGCTTGTTGCCACTTTGTCGGTCGAGTACGGGAGCGGTCACCCGGAGGAAGACAGCCAGGGGGGATCGAACTTCGCTAACTTCACTCGTCCCACGAGAGCATCACATGAGAATGAAGTTCAGAAACGATGCGCTGCGCCCCGAAGATCCTCATAAGAGGAGTGGCCACGGATCACTGAGCCATCTCACGCAGCCAAGACTCAAGATCCTGTTCTGTGCGTCAGTGTGAAAACTGGCACTGCTCGACAAAGGGGAGTGACTGCAAGCTTCCCTCTGTTGCTTTGGGTGGGCACGCTCAGCCGGCTCGTACCTGGGCTCCAGTGCTTTTCGACGCCGTGTGACTGTCCACACTAAGGCAGTTCAGGCTGCTGAGGCGAGGGAATAGCTGCCCTGGCAGTCGTCTGAGTCTAGCATAGCTTACTAGTCGCTAGCACACTTCAAGGTGGATAACCATGGCAAGTGAGATCCAAAGGCAAGCCGAGCATATTCGGCAGTATCAGGAGCGATCCTCCCAGACGGTGCCAGTGAACACAAACGAGTGAACAGGGGCAATCCCTGCAAAGCCCTTCGACAGATGGCGCATTGCCCGAAGGCTCCCATTAATAAGGAGCCTTGCCACGCACGCGCAGTGAAGGCTCAAGACCTTGGCCTGAGGCCTACGAGATGGACTGTGGAGAATGAAGAACCGCAAAAAGAAGTTGCAAGAGGCAGATCCAGCGCGAGGGTCGCTGGAGAATGCCAAGAGGGTTTGGCTCAATTGCCGCGATTCAACCAGAAGAAGGGCGAGTTGGAGAAGTCTGGCTTCGACAGAATGGGGGCCAATAGCGGAGCTCCGAAAGCCGACAACCAACTTCGACAACCACGCCGGAAGGCGACGAGCAAGTGACGATGGTGGCGTAGACCAGGTCTTCACCGCAGAGGATGAAGGGTGCTGGTTTGCCACCGCATTGCAGCTGACTGATCAGTAGCTTCGGATGCAACGTGGACCGCTGCTTGGAGAACTGGTTTGGACATGTTAATGGAGAAGATCAAGCTCAAGAAAGTCAAGATTGATCTCGCTGGCCCACTGCGTGTAAAAGTCAGGTTGCCCTTCCAATGCGCCAGGGCAGGATTTGATGCCTGCTGTTGCCACAGTCCATCGAAAGACACTGCTTCTATTCTATTGGCGAGGCTAGACGTCGAGGCTGTGTAAGTCAAACAGGACTTCTTGTTGACGAGGGTTCAGATGAGGCCGTATTTTGTGGATTAATACTGCGATGGCAAAGGAGTTGGCCAGTTTTTCTCCCCACTGAATGCCAAATACGCCTGTGTCGCGCGGGCGACCCTCCGTGATAACATTCTTAAGTCTTAGGATCTTCAGGAGTGAATGACACACAGGGAAGAGTTCCCAGGCACTGTGTTCGCTGTCCGAGCGGAGTGAGAAGAGCCCGCAAACATCATGATGGCTGACTGAAGAGAGCCCTCTTTCCAACAGGACTGTGCAACAAGTTGAGCGACTGTGCTGAGCTCTTCGCTGTTTTCTTTTTGGCGTGGAGATCTAGAATCTGGCCAGAGAGCTTGCCTGCAGAATCTGACGTTTGCGCGCGCAAATAAAGCTAGCGAAAAAATGTTTCATTGAGCGAGCGTATAACATTGTAAAATCATGGATGTGGGCACCTTTGACATGAAGTTGGATGACAAGAGATTATTTTTTGCTAGTGTGTTTCAGCTTAATTACCTTTGGTCAGGTATTATCAGATCATTTCTTTCAATGGATGCGCCGGCCCTTGAGCTGTTGCGGTGTTGCATCATACAGTTTTCCAAGGCAACTTCGGTTGGGTTCGTGGCGTATTCACATGACCAATAAACGTGGACTCCCCTTATGGCATCAAACTCCAAATGGGAGCCATAGGCCAAGGTGCCCAATCCAGTTCCAGGTCTCTCCCGGTTTGTCGTTGAATCAGGGCCGGGCAAGAAGTTCAAGGGTCTGCTGAACGCTTGAGACGCACGAGTATACGTACATAAGAACATAAACAGCAGATTCGGACTTGGAGGTAAACATTGGTGTGACCCCGATTTACTCAACGTGTGCTGTTCTTGGAAGTCTGAGACACACGGGCTTACATTCCAATGCAAGATGAGCAACGAAGAATCCCGTGTAGTGTGTCCACCTTCCAAAATAAAACGCGGAGCGTGAAACTGGTGCTGCAATCGCACACCCGCGTTCAAACTGCCATGAGTTTGGACGAAGACACAGGGAAGGGCCAATGAAAGACTTCACAGGTGCTCACGGAATTGAAATTGCGTGCGAGAGCGACATAGAACTCTTGACGACCCGGATGACCGACAGTAATGGTTGTCCTGGACGATTTTGGGTTCTTACCCTTTGCTTTGTGGCACGTGTTTTGTGTTTCTTCCCCAAGGCTGCTTGCACATGCGATTTGCTCCCGATCAACGACGAAAATTTCAACATACCCCAAATCCAGCAGCTTGGCAGAAATCTGTGGTTCGCCTTCCCAACGGCGTTTTGAACTATTTTAATCGCATTCGGGCTTTGAGCGCGACCTATCATACGCAAGTAGGTTTTGAAGGTTTTGTTTTCAGACGTGAACACGATCTCGGTTTTTCGGCCAAACAACTAGCTGTAAGAGGTTTAGGTCAAAGCAGGCAGAAACAGTTTTAGGCGTCAAACGGTTGACCGTCAATGCTAGGCAATTCTTATCCCAACATGTTGGACACCCACTTAAGAGAATTAGTTTGGCGACTACGGTGTTTTGTTTGACTCAGTAGTCAATTACAAATTTGATGACCACATGTGCAAATTTTTGAACCTTCCACTAGCGACCATGAGTTCGTTTCTTTTCGCCCCCATTTTGTTTTGATTGCAGTTGAAAAATCGAAAACTGATAAAATTTGTGTGTGCTACTCATGTGATTCAAACAACACTTTCTGGTTTGACAATTTGACACCCATATACAACCAATGCAACAACAAATTCTAAGGACATGTTCTAAATGAAACGCTTGTATTTTTTTTGTCACATTCAGCCAATGTTCCGCTTGAAAACTGTCAGTCTGATTTTCTTTCCCTGGTTTATTTTTTTGCTCCTTCAGATGCTCGACCCTTTAATTGTCCACATATCGGATCCCAGCAACCCGTCAACATAGCCAAACCCCCATCCAGGTACAATGTCTCGCAGCATGTTGTGGCGCTCATTGTGGTGCTGGAGATTTGGCTCTTCAATCGTATCTTGGCGGTTGAAGATGTTCACAATGCGTGGTTTAGCAACATGTTGACAAACACGTAGTGAAAAATCACAACCGACACTGTCCAATCTTGGGTTTGCTGCACTAAAATGAAGCAGAACAGCAGAACAGATTCAAGATGAATTTGTGTGCCAAACAATTATATACATTCACCATGTTCCCTCCACATACTGTATGCAGACCATTGACATTCATTGTATACTGTAACATCATATACACAACATTATCATATGAGATTATGCACCTCAGTCAGTGAAAAACATCGACCATCCCACTCACGTAGCCCAGAGTGCGAATTGCTGGTCAGAAGTGACCAAGAAGCATTGGCTGCTGAGGTGTTTTCAGGGTGCTCTCCTTGACAATGACGAGATGGGAAAACCACAAGTTGAGATCCGATTTCGTGCACGCTTATCACTTGAAGGCCTGAATTCCCTGGTATCCGATTTGGTGCAACAAAGAAATTCGATACCTCGAGGGATGAGGTGCTGCACATCAAGTGAACCAACATTTATTCACAAGAGAAATGAGAACCTCCAACAAGTTTCCGATTTCCTTTCGCTTGCGGAGGCTGTGAGCCTTCAATTAATTAATTCGCTTGGACCTTAGCAGAAAGGCGGCTCAACACGACCCTTTCTTTGAGAGTGTGCTCTGGAAAGAGGCATCATTTGCTTTGTTCAAGATATGATCAAGCATGATCAAGCATACACCGTACCGCCACGTTTGTTGATGCTGAAGGTATGCATCTCTCTTCTACATCGCCTTTTATCCAGACTCATTGAAGATGCACGAGACTCAGGGAAGAGGGAGGCTGTGGGCTCCGGGAATCGGAGAGACCTGGTGGATCTGAGAAGTCGGGTCTTGAACAAGGCCGAGGAGGGGTGCGGCTGACAGGTGAATGTCAATGGAACGTAGTGGAGCTTTGGAAGATCTGCTAAGCTCAGTTTGCTTGCTTGATAGCGGAGGTTTGAAGTCTCGTACACCTGCTCCTATGTCGAAGCCCCAGGGAGTCGGGTATGGACTGCTCATTCGGATTTTTCCCGATTGACAACGACATCCCAGCACCAACCACAACACCCATATGCACTCAGCTTGGGATGCACCTTTGAATCGGCTAGCTCTGACAGATTGTGTGGATTTCTTTCCAGCCGTCCTGGACTGTCCGTTCCAATCTACGGGGATGAACAGGAGCCGACTCTGCGGAAGCCGGCCTTCGAACCGGATGCAGTGGTTAGCGGCTTGGACATCAGAACGCTAAGGCCAATGGCTGGTGGAACCATTGGGGCAACGCGCCGACGCCCCAAACTGCATCTTCCATGGATTTCCATGGCAGTGGTGAAAGCATGTTCAGAAGCCGATTTAGTTCTAAGCTTCTAGATTCCAGGCTGCTTGGGTTGCTTGCGGTGGCTTTCTGGCTGCTCAGGTGCCGGATGGCGCGACTCAACAAGCAGCTGACGACCATCCTTGCAGCCTTTTGTTTGAAGGCCTTGATTGACGGCTGCCGTATCAGTTGCCATATCACCACAGGTCATTGAGTTGCCTGTTTGGATCTTAAACTGAATGGTGAACTCCTTTGTTGACGCAGGCACTTCTGATATTCACAAGGTACACCAGATGTATTGAATAGTCCCACTATCTCTGACTTGTAGTGCAATCTCTTCATTGTAGTTTCAAAAAACCTGATGAAACACATAGCATCAGTCGTCCGTCGAGGGGGGGGCCCCAACGGGGGCCTGGGACCGACCTCACTGTCGCACCTCGGCAGGTGGCGTTCCGTTGCGTGGCTCTCCTGTTGTTCTCACCGACGAAGAAAGCCAGTCAGTCGCTGCCCGAAAGGACCCCAAAACGGCGCCGAATCGGCCCTTGAGCAGATCGGTGGTGGAACTCCTCGCCGTTTCGCTATTGGTGAAGTTTCTTTGAAAAGCTAGGAGCCAAATGATCAGTGAGGTATCCTGCGTCCATGCTAGTAGCTACTTAAGCTACTAGCGACTCCCGAGCTTCTACTAGCTACCTCATGCTACCTCTAGCTACTACCTCCCTCTTCTAGCGGCCTCCCCCCCGCGGGCTTTTTAAAAAAGAGCAAACGTTCAAAAAGCAGCCATGAATAGCTGAACCTTCACCACCCAAAAGGCACACATGCGCGGATGCGATGTGCACATGGGTGCCTTGCTAGTGTTATGTCGTATCATCCCCATCTCCAAACCTGGGTGAGGTCCCTTCGACCTACTTATGGATTGACACCAGTCACACAAAACATTCTGCTTCTGCTGCTATGTCGTGTTTACGCCAACTGAAGGGAGGCCTCCGCACTAATTTGCGAGCCTGAAACACCTCAACATGGTTAGTTCCTATTCACATTCCTGTGTCTTGCGGCAGGAGCTCTGATATTTTGGACCTGGACCACGTCATGTCGGCGCCAAGGCGAGCTCTGATATTTTGTACACAGGACTCGTGCATGACAAATCCAAGGACCGGCGTGTTGATGCAATGAATCTCTTGAGTGATCGGAAACACATGGAACAAGTTGTTAGATCAACCGTGATCATCCTCCAGAAAGAGCGATCATTCTTAGATCCAGGGATTTTTGAAAAATTCAAACAGGATCCAAGGCTTTGAGAGTGATCCCGCGTTGCCAGGTTTGGAGATCCAGAAACTGATTTGAACGTGGTGCCTTCTTGCTGCTTTAGCTCCATGGCTATTCAAGGCGGCGTCAGGGTCTGCTGGCTTTTCAACGACGTCAACGTCTTGGTTGGTCCATTGATATCCAGTGATTACTATGTCAGCTAAGAGTAAAGGGGGTGAACACAAAGGGGGGGCGAGGTTGCAGGCTGGAGAACACCAAAAACAAAGAGGAAAAGCAGAGAAAACACAAGAACACGCATAGAGCTCAGAACACAAGATAGGCAATATTTTGTCTAGCCGGTGTCTAGCCATTTCTACCAAGAAGTCAGTTGACATGGACTGACGAAGGGTACGCTGCTAGGATATGTTTCTTCTCTCATGGCGATGAGCCAAGCTGAATGCGCCACCAGGGTGATCGGACATCATGCCTTTGCGGATGCGTTGCAGACAAGAAGGGCTCCCCACACCTGTGCCTGTCTCGCTCCTTCTCCTTCTCCTTCTCCTTCTCCTTCTCCTCCTTCTCCTTCTCCCTCTCTCTCTCTCTGGGGCTCTGGAGGAGCATTTACCAGCTGCAACCAATGGAGGCATCAGCAAAGGCAGACAAGACGATACCCAGACGAAGGTGACCAGAAGGTTCAGAGGCCTCAAATTCCTGAGGCCTAAAACGAGCGAAGATGGCCAGATCAGAATGAATAGGTGCCAGGACAACGAAGAAAGCCGCGTACTGCATGCTCATGTGTTGCCCACAGCAGATTGGGAATTGAACTCCCCTCGCACCATGTTCAGGGACGCTTGACATATATAAATCTTGGAGCCGGCCACTGGCCACTGGCCACGCTTAACAGGCTGGTCACTTGCGCATCGACAAGGAACTTCGAATCCCACTGCACCACTCCACGTTTCATTGCCAATCATATCCCTCCACTGTCCCCATCACCTCCACAAGGTTTGGGATTAGAGGGGAAAGAAAAGCTTTACTTGACTTATTTTCGTGGGTGCTTTTCCATGCCGAAACGGTAAACTTCATGGGCCGAAACCGGCGACTTGGCGATGAACCGACATTGGTATTAGCGATTCGACCCAGCTGGAAATCCTCCATCACATACCGACTCTGACCGATGTTGCACATCTGAGGTGCAGCATCTGAGGTGATCATCGTTCTTGGCATGTGCCTTTGATGTGTGATATCCGGAGAGATGGGCTTTCACCAATCTCATTTCTGCCAAAAACGTGTTAAAGATATCTATAAACATGTTATTGTTCTCAGACCTGTCAAAGACTAATTGCTCTGGTTGTGTTGGGGATGTATGCGAGTCTCGGTGTATGTTGCCTTGATGGATGTAGCTGATGTAGCTCAGTCGCGATATTGTTGGTGTGTGGGTTGCCCTGCCTGCCACCTCATCGGCCACCCGCAGAGGAGAAGTCTCCGTGGTTCTTCGTTTAATTGTTTGATGTTGGCCCTTTGCATCTCCTTTCCAATGGGTTGCTTGCTAGGACGCGAAGCTCAAAAACTTGTTTTCGTGCCAAATTGACAACCGTACGTAGGGTAACACAGGAACCAAACCCAACGGAACTGAACTAAACCGCTGTCCTTGGTTCCAGCTGTCCATGCCTCGATTTGAAACATCCAGCGCTGCCCATGAGCTTTGGCTCGCTTGGTCCATGGTTCGCCACGTTTTTTAAGGGTTCCTTGCTCTTCTGAATCGCTACTAGGGTGGAGGCCATCGCTGTTTGAGGTGTTCATTTTTGGTCTTTTACTTGGCTCGCCATCGGTCGTTTCCTGAGGTTCTTGCTCTTCTTACCAGCGTCTCCATGGACCGGGCTTTTGACCTTCATCTTTCTGCAGCTTTCAAACCTGGCCTTGGCTCGAAGCCGCCGTGGGATCCCATGGCGTGCAGGGCATCGGCCTTAGGGGTTTCAGGGGGAAGTGGTTGGTTGGTATGTTTTTCTTTTTTTTTGGCGTTTTATGTGTGTCCTGTATAGTATTGGGAGGTATATGGTAGTGGTATGGGTTTTGTTTGTATTTCTGTGACCACCCTTTTTTCTGGTGCGGTTTGTTGTTTGGGTACCTTGTTAGCTCCTCCATGCACCTTTTGTTGGCTTAACACTGTTTATGGCTTCTCCTGCGGAGGCATCCTTTTTGTCACAGCGCAGATTTGCTCGAAGCCAGTGTGCGCAGCTCAGAGAGTTGCAATGTCTTTCTGCATGTTGCGACAAATCACTTAGTATTTTTGATGGATGCTGGTATCTCCAACGTTTTTTGTCTCGAAGTTCTGTCTAGTTCTGTTGCAGTTTTCTCACCTTTCCCAGGAAATGATCTTGTGACCTGAGGACCGTCTCGCGGGGACAGCAATCCAAGCAATCTCTTGGCTCGCCATGCTCAGCATGGCAGTTGGGAGTCTGAGTAGTGCAGCTCTGGAGTAAAGTCGCAGGTCATCATGCAATTCAATAGCAGTTCAAGGTTTTTTTTTTTTTTTTCGCAGTTGCTGTTCTTTGCGATTGTTGGAGGCCCTCGGTCCCTTTCTGCCACATCACAGAGTCAATTCAGAAATGATTCCGAAAAGATAGACCAAATGTGACATGATCCAATGTCAATGGGAACATTCCCTGGTGGACACGATTCACAGTGTCCAGTAATCGTGTTTTGACCAAATCATTTTTCAGCTCCATTTGGAGTTTCTGCCCTTCACAGTGGAAGTCGCAACAAAAGCTGTTGATGTGCTTGTTTCGCATAGGTGTCATGCACTGATCCTCGGCGTTTTAGGCTCTTTTGGTTTGGCCAGCCCAACTTGGCTGGGGCCGACTGAATGCTGTCCTCCTCATCAATGAGGCCGGGCTTGTTTGGGGTCAGGAGGACTCTTTGCGAGCCATAGAACCGTCGAACTAATACATGAGATGTAATGCAGCAGCTTCTTTCTCAACATGCTTCTACAATACAGAAGCTCCAACTTCTGTCCAGTGTACAGTACAGATAGAGTGCCTTCCTTGCCAGTTTTTTGCTTGCTACACTGATCAGACCGGTTACTAAGCACATGAAGTAAGTAGCATGCCTCACAGCTGCTCACAATTTGACTTAGATCATCTTAGATCAGAACCAGGTTTGATAAAAGCTGTGATGAACAAGATATCTGGCAAGCTGTGCTTTTGGCAATTGCCAATCAAAGCAGGGAGCTCCCAAGTATTTTCAATGTAGTGGATGACCACCACAACGCTGTGGTTTTGCTCATGGGTTTCGTGGTTTGGGAGCCACCTTTATTAAGGGTTCTTGGTACGGTTCGGTGATCCGCAATTTGGTCTCTTTTTTCCTCTCTCAGGGCTCCGACTTGGCGCCTTGGGGCGTGTCTTGCGCCTTGCTGCTGGTTTGTCGCTTTTTGCCTGGACGATTTGCCACTTGGCATGGGCAGAAAGGGACTTGCGGGTGATCGGCGCCTTTTTTAAAGCCCGCTCCCCCCTCCCTACTTATATTAATATATATAATAGTAGGCGCCTACTTAATTACTGTAAGTAAGGGAGAGGTAGCTAGTAGTAGCTAGGTAGGTAGTAGAAGAGGTAGCTACTGCCTGCAAGTAGCTACCTCCTGGGACGCAGGATAGCTCACGCTTCTTCAAGCTCCCCTCGCCGCCCCAAATTATTTGAAGCTTCCTTGAAGAAGCGCTCGCACAAATGATTTGGTTCCTAGATTTTAAGGGAAACTTAAGGAATAGGAGCTAGGAGCCACAATATGAAGAAAGCTGAACAGGAAAGTCGAGATGGACTCTCTCCGTTTCAATTGGGTTGACCAACAGCACTGCGAAGTTCTCAGGTTCAATGCACTCCTACTGCAGCCAGGCAAAGAACAGGATGTGGGGTTATGTCTGAGTTCGTGGAGAATCTAGAGGCCCCAACAAGTCTAGATTGTTTGATGCTCCTCAGCAGCGGCTCACCTGCGCCAAATAGTCTAGCAGTACTATTTCCAGTCATTCAAGATCATGCGTGAGGGCATTCTAGAGTCCTAGAGCACTCGACTGGGTCATTGAGTCATGCCTTTTCATTCTCCACCTTCATCGAGCTCTCCCCCATTCCGCCAGCCCCGAATCTGTCACCCCGCGATACCTCCAATACAAGACTGGCGCGCAGAACTCAGCAACACTGGCACAAGATTGAGATGAGGGAGCATATTTTTCATGTACTGTACTCACCAGACAACACCTGCACAAGATAGATCAACATATAGTTAAAAATAGGAGTGCGGGCTGGGCAACTCTTGCACTCAAGCGAGTTCGCCCATGGGAACTTTCAGGCTGCGCACCGCTGAAACACGGCTGTGTCGGGCAATGCAAAAAGCAAGGTTTGGCACTGTGTCGGGGGAGATTCGCGGGGAGATTGGACAATGGTCGAAGCAGCACCTGAGAATGCCATGTTTGATGGGTTGCAGTAAGGACAGATTTCGCTGGGCAGGTTGGTCCGTCCCTTCACTCACCGATGATTTGATTCAGGGCCTGACCGTTTACTGGTCCAGATTGCCTTGCAAGAAAGCCAAAGACTCTTTGTTGATGCATGTTGAACATTGTTCGATCTGCTCTCTTGGGGGCAGGCAGGATGGTACTGCAGCTCCTTCAATTAGCCCGGAGCTCAAGTATCAAACGCATGCATGCACAGTTGTGCTTGCGGACTGACGGGTCGCAGTATGTCACAATCCCGAATCGGAATCCATTTTGTTTGAATGATTCATGCCTGGTAAGAGGGTTGGAGGCCCCAGAACCCAGAGAGCAAAAGATATCTATATATGCTGAATGTGCAGATGTTCCTCATGGGCAAAAATGCCCGGCCCGAACCAACTGCACATATCTGGCTGAAAAGTGATAGGGTGCCAAAGACAACGCAAAAGTGTGCAAAAGTAATACATAGCTATCATAGCATCATGTGAATATATAGTACTGTATAGTACCTTGATAGACAAACAGTGCAGGGATGTGCTGGGTTTAACGTTCGCAGTGGGACCAAACGCGCGTGCGCGGCTTGTTCGAACACTTCTGATCGAGGAAGTGTTCGCGGGAGGCCGCAACTGGGCACAGACTTTCGAGTGAGGCCGGAGGGGTGAGGGCAAATGTTGCTGACAGAGTATGGAAGAGAGTTCCGATTGTGATTGGAGAATTTGTTCATGAAGCTTTGCAGGGCCGATGAAACTTCAATGGGAATCATCAAACCGCGTGACTGATCCACAAGCATGCTGAGCACATCGATTCAGGACGCCCCAGCAATGGGAAGAGCTGAGTGCAAAGTTCACTTAGGACTTCGGTGTTTGAGTGAAGGGAGCAACAAAGACCCCTCGTGACTTGTACAGACGATGGGGTCGTGAAAATGTGGCAATGCTCCTAGTCACTAGGACCTATTGTATGGAACAGTGGGGATCTCCATCTTCTTGTGCAAGACCTTTACTGAGCGAGATCTGTAGATAGTCGATTCTGGACCAATCGAGTCTTCTTGAAGTCGAGGTGATTGAAGTGATCCGCAGCTTCAGCTTCAAGGGGAGCCATGAGACGGCTGAACCGTGCTTTCTCAAAAGCTTGGAAAGTTTCACACCACTGTGCTGGGACCTGAGAGTGCCCCGGAACGTACAACAAGCTCCCAATGTACAACATGAAGCAACCAACGTGTGCGCCGTGTGCGCAATGTTTATTGCTTTGTGCAAATTGAGCACTGCTTAGACAATGGTGATCATTGCAAGATCTTGCTTGAAGCCATTTTGCGCCAATGGAGATCACTCCCATGTGTTTTGAACCAAGACTAAGATTACTGTGCATAATTATAATGTATATTAATGTATAATGGAATATAATATATATAATATAATATAATATAATACAATATAGTATAATGTATATATGTAATATTTATGGGTATCTGTAGTTGAACCAATAACTTGACAATGATTGGCGAGTATGAAAATCGTTTGCAAGTGTCAGGGTTTTCGTCTTGTGGTTCTTCACCTTCTTTCAGCTTTGAAAGTCAGGAAGCTCCCAACATGCTGCGCAAATTTCCCGTGATCTACTGTATCTAGGAGCTCCAAATGAGAATGCAATTTTGGTGGAAGAGAGCCATTGCAACTTTTATGCAGGGTGTTGAATTTGGGTGAAGGTCATATCAGTGGTTGGGATATTGCCATGACAGGGGAAACCCGGTAAACCTCCAAAAACCAAGTGGACATAAATCGTAAGGCACACCATGTTTCACCAGAAGCTTCTAGAGCTGGATTCTCGACTTCACAACAGCTTGGATGAGGTTTGCAATGGCCGCTCCTACACGGGAGCTTCAAGTCCTGATCTGAGTGTTCTCTACGGCTTTCTTCCATGTAACCAATGAAATTGCTTGCCCAGAATGCCCCAAGACGAGATGTTCTCCAGAGAGTATTCTCCACTCCTTGCCTTCGGAGCCCTGGATGTAGCAATTCCTTAGCATGGTGTCAGGTGCACAGATGCTGCAGAGTCTGCAATTGCGACTCCTTTATGGCCAGGCCATGGGTCCGACGGTCTGACGGTCCGAACTCATGGATCAACTCGGAACCCAACTCAGGGCGCCCAGGACAAGGACGTCCGACTATGTCCGACTCACTTGTACTACCAGTGCATCGCTACTAGTAACAAGTGCCTTACTAGTAGTAACAAGAAGCTATTAGAAACAAGTGCCTTACTACTAGTACGTAACAATAAGAATAGACCATTGTAGACCATTGTGGACCCAATGCACCCTGAAACAATAGCTCTCCACCTTGAAACGACCCCGCCTGCGAGGGTGCCCAGTTGGCTCGCGCCATGGACCGGGCGGTGTGCAGAGCTTAAGCTTTAAGAACTGGAAGGGTGGAGCCCCGTGACATGCGAAATCACTGGACTCAATGGACTGTCAGTCACAAGTCAAGGTGACAGATATGATGATATACTTTTTGATGTGACGAGCATTGGCAGATCCGCTTGAAAATTGGATGAGAGATGATGAGAGGGAGCCACTGTCCTCTTCTTGTGTCAACTGGTAGATGGGTCCACCAGGAGGGACCGCATTGGGGACTTGCGGGGTGAATCTGGACAGGTCCAAGACTTGGTCCAAGCACCAATGGGAGGGTTGAAATGATTCAGATGATTTCGCGACATGTTCGGAAGCCGATCTGGCTTTAATTGAAGCCGATCTGGCTCTGCAACGGCGTCGCAAGGGGCGCTGAGGTGCAGCATCGCCGGGCTGGCGGTGGGTATCAGCCTCTTATCCTTGTACGAAAACAGTAGGGAGAGGCGTGGGTCGAGTTGATTGGATGTTGGGAGACAGTGAGTAGACCTTCCCTCTTTCATTTGGACATCTACCAATAGTTTTGGATGGCTTTGCGGCTGTTTTCAGGGCGACCTTCCGTGAATGGAATGTGCGAGTTCTGCAAGATCACTATGTGGTCATCGTTGTTGGCGAAAACCTTGCACTATAGTCACTAGAGATTTGTTTCCATCCATCGTGATCAATAACGAACATGTTTGCTCAGATCCTTTCCTGTTGAAATTGGTTGAAGCGAACGTGCGTTTTTTGCAGATTGATCCGATGTCGGCTCCTATCCATGAAGCAAGACATGCAGCTCCGGCGACAAGTGCGGGAGCTACAGCAGCTTGGCCAACTCCCTCGGTCCTGACTTGGCGGACCGAGAAACCCGCTTGGGGTCTTTGTATTGTATATCTCACTCTCTTGCAAGCTTGATCCATTAAGATCCAAAATCCTGATCGATCAAGAGAGAGAATCTTTGGGTCCTAAAAGCCCTTACACCAACAAACATGACCTTGTGAACATTCAGTGCCATCCCTTCAGCCACCCCTTGACACATCAGCTCTATGTGATGACAAGGTCCTGCAGCATGTCGCTGGACCTGGCACAGACCGACGCCTTGGTCCAGAGGCCGGACGGTTGCTGAGCGACATGGACCGTTCACAGGGGTGGCCATTGGAGTCGGCTGGACATCGAAAGAGAGCGACCGCAACATGCTAGGGGCTCCTGGCATCGCTACTAGGAGCAAGGACGCTACTAGGGGCTCCTGGCCTTACTACTAGGAATAAGAAGGTAGTAGTATCAAGTATCCAGCAATATTATACATGAATGGGAGGCCATCGCTAGTAGGCTGGAGGCCATCGCTATTAGGTTGTTGAAATTTGTTGATAGAGTGTTCTTTGTTTCAATGCCTTTGATTTGTGTGTTGACGAGGAGTGATCAATAAAAGCCTTTTCCACCCAAAGCAGTGTCGCTTTCTTGGAACCACGACTGCCGACGGCCTTAGGTTATTTTGGAAAGACAGCCAGACTGACATCCACGAGGAGCGCACCCCCTTGCAATGAACGTGTATCCAGCACCCGCTTGCATCAAGCTTGTGATCAGAAAGCGAAAACCATGGCGCTAGTGCTTTTCAAGTCACACTCGACGCTGAGATCTTGTCAGGCCTATAGCTTTCCAAGTGACCAGCCCTTGGGCTCTGGTGCTTATGGCGTGGTTTGGCTGGCCAGACACCGCAGGTGGGCAGCTCGCTGCGTTGTGCAGGTCGTTTTTCGTCTTTAAGAGCATGATTCCAATGGGAACCATGACAGACAATGGCATTGACAATGGGTAATATCATGCAACATCAGTAATTACCGACTTCAGAATATATCTCCAAACTTCTCCAAATAGTTTGGGGAACCTTGAACGTCCTACCTTGCACATGCACTTACAATAAGAAGGCTTCATTGATATTCCATGATATTCCAAATGCTTGGTTGCCAGGACTGGCCTCTACCGGGCCATCAAGCGTGTTGATAAGCGTTGGCTGAGACCTGGCGAGATAGAGGCGGAAGCTCGTTCGACACGCATCCTCGGATTTGTCTCCAATGGCTGAGTCTCTTTGGAGACCCCTTCAGAGAGGCCGTTCCGATGGTTTTCAGAACGGGACTTGGACGTGACGAGCCCGTCGACGGAAAAAGGTTCCTCCGGGAGCAGTGACTCCGTGGAAATCCAGAGGGGAATCATTCGTGCGACCTCCATACATCCAGACTCAAGCTTTGCAAGCCATTGTCGCAGTGATTGTCGCATGCGACAGCACTTTTGTTCTCTTTTGTTTATATATAAGTTATTGCGACAGGGAAAGTGGAGATTTGCTGTTCTTGTGTGCGCGAGGCTTGGAAAAAGATGGATCATCCGCATGTATGTAGGCTGGTTGAGCGTGAATCTCAGAGCAACGTGTCAGCTGATCAATGCGAGCCACTCATTCAATCACCGAAATGAGTGTTCTGGACGTTGCATGGAATCTTGAAACACATGACTCATGACACGTGTTCTCAGGGCGGCCTTGTGAAAACGTTTTGAACCTTCGCTCAAGGTATTTCGAGAGCCCACACTACTTGTGGCTGGCTACAGAGCTCTGCCGTGGGCAGGAGCCGCGCCACGTTTCCCAGCGCCAAAGACCCAACGGATTTGCCACTGGACAACAAACAAGCGGGACCTGTCCTGGCGACATGTGCTGCACATGTTGAATCTATGACATCACAATGCAAGGAGCCTTTTGCACATCATTGTCACTTGGTCATGAGAGGAGCTCTGTGAAAGGATCATCTCAGAGCAAAGAGGATTGCCGGAAGCAGAGGCCAGCAAAGTGGAGCTAGGCTTTAGTAGGCCGTTATTGAGTTTTGAATGGTCCTCATAGGACGGGCAAGGCAACGACTTGAGCTCACTGCTACCCCTCAAGTCATCTTTGGTTCACACAGGGGAGAAAGAAGCTTTTTGATATGGCTGGGTCAACGAGAAGTTTGGACCCATGGGTTTCACATCGAACGAAGACCGCCGATGGCACACCTTTTCGGTGGAAGAGCTTCTCCACACCTCTCCCCTGCGTCAACTCCGCAGGTGGCGCAGCTCATGGAGCAGATGTTCCGAGCCACGTTGCATTGTCATCAGCGCAACACGCTCCACCGGGATCTGAAGCCGGAGAACTTCTTGTTCACAGGTGTGTGTGTGTTTTTCCTGGCTGCATTCACCACTTATGATGTCGCATGTATGAATGTATATAATTGAATGTAGCACGGCAAAAATCACAGGCCCACATTTGACCATACTGTGGACAACCTGTGTTGGACCGGCTTTTGAACATACGAAGAAACTCCTGAAAAAACCGTTCAGACACAACGGCGTTCGAGCCCATCGCTGTTGCGGCGCAAGGGGCAGAGGGCTCTTCGGACGTGAAGCTCATCGATTTTGGCTTTGCGGTTCAGGCAACGGCCCAGTGGATCTCCACTTTTCATCA